CTTCAGTGTTCCACCACACACACACACACACACACACAAATGATAACTATATGAAGTGACAGATGTGTTAATTAACCTGATTGTAGTAATCATTTCACAATGTATATGTACATCAAATCATCACTTTGCACAATTTAAATATATCAATTTCATTTGTCAATTAAACCTCAATAAAGCTGGGAAAAAAGAGAAAGTTTTAAGGCACCAATTTGAAACTGGCTAACTTCACTGAAACTTGAGTGCTAATTTCTTTATGGGATATGCATTCTAATATTCTCATTTTGAGGAGTGAGGGAGACTTGGAAGTTGGCATCTTGCTGCATCTCCCCTGACCCATATCTATTTCTAACCCTTTCCTCCCTCAAAGCCAAGCAGGGACACATAACCTGGGAAGGGCTTGGCTGGGTTACATTAGCCCTCATGAGTGTGCCCAGTCTCCCTGCTCTCCAAAGACACTGCCTACTCTACTCTATGATGAGGAGAGTGCATTTGGAAAGAAACATATAGGAGAACATTTCATAGCAAAATGATGGGATGCGGCAAAAGCTATATCCAGAGGAACATATACAGCTTTAAAAATCTTTACAATTAAAGAAAAAGAAATAAAATTAAGAAATTCAGTACTTATCTTAAGAAATTAGACAAAGTAACAAAATAAAACAAAACAAGCTAGGAAGAGGAAATTGATAAAAGCTAAAAATAATGAAATTAGAAAAAAATAGGTGAAATAACAATAAATTCAAAAACTAGTACTTTTAAATACAAATAAAACAAATAATTCCCTATGTGCCGTACCTAAAAAAAGAGAGAGACCTAAACTATACAAGTTTAGGAATAAGAAAGGAAATATAAACACAGAATATAGAAGACAGGAAAAGAATTGTAGGATATTACTACGTTTGGTAACAAGAAAACAAATTTGAATGAGTAAAAATTTCCTAGAAAAATACAAATGACCAAAAGCAACTTAAGAAGTGAAATTTGAATATACCAAGTACCCTAAAAGAGAATGGAAAAGTAACTGAAGATCTACTTCATTGAAACTTCAATGTCCAGATGGTTTCACAGCTAAGTTCTTTCTAACTTTTAAAGAACTGATTAATTCTAATATTATTTAAATTATTCTAGACCACTCATAAAGATAGAAAGCTCCCAATTTATGTTACAAAGCCAGCATAACTTTAAAACAAGTAGAGAAAAGAGTACTATGTACAAATCTCATTTATACACACAAATCTTAATTTCTAAATAAAATATCATGTAGAATCCAGTAATACACCAAAATTGCTAGAGTATGACTGTCATGGGTTGAACTTTGTACCCCTAAAAAGATATGTTGAAGTCCTAACCCTTAGTACCTCAGAATGTGACCTTATTAGGAAATAGGATCTTTACTGAGGTAATCACGTGAAAATGTGGTCATTAGGGTGGGCCCTAATCCAATATGATAGGTGTTCTATAAAAAGGAGAAATCTGGACACAGAGACAGACATGCACGGAGGGAAGATGATATGAAGATACAGGAAGGAGACAGCCATGTGAAGACAGAGATACAGGGAGAATGCCATGTGAAGACAGAGGATTAGAGTGATGCATCTACAAGCCAAGGATTACCAAAGATTGCTGGCAAATCACTAGAAGCTATAAAGAGGCAAGGAAAAATCATCCCCTACAGGTGTCAGAGGGAGTGTGGCCCTGTTGACACCTTGATTTTGGACTTCCAGCTTCCAGAACTGTAAAACAATAAGTTTCTATTATTTTAAGCCACCCAGTTTGTGGTGCTTTGTTAGGCAGCTCTAGCAAACGAGTACAATGACCAAGAAAGTTTATTCCAGGAAGTCAAAGGTGGATCAATATCAGGAAATCTGTCAACCATAGTCTATTACACATCAACAAATTAACAGACAAAAACCACATGATGTCATATATGCTGAAAAGACATTTAATAAAAACCAGCAGCAAATCTTAAAAACTCTAAGTATATTAGGAGTAGAAAGATAAAATGAAGACTGTGAATCAAGAACAAATATTATCCTAAATAGTAAAACTCTAAGACAATTTCATCTAAAATCAGAAATTTAACAAATTTATCAGCAATTACTATTATTACTTAATATTCTCTTGGAAGTTTTAGCCAATGCAGTATGACAAAAATAACTGATATGAACAGTAGAAAAGGAGAGATAAAACTATTAATGTTGATATGATTATCGCAGAAAAACTTAAGAATCTCTAGTAAAATGCTGACTAGAATTAAAAGATAATTTGGCTTGTTTCTATATTAGCAATAAGTTCTTAGATATGGAAAAGGAAAATATTCCATTTACAACAATGACAAGAATTATAAAACATCTGAGAATAAATTTAAAAAGAAAGGCACAGAACCTATACAAAGAAAATTGTAAGATCTTATTGAAAGCATAAAATAAGATATGAAGAGGTGGAAAGCCATGTCATATTCTTGGATGGGAAAATGTACTATCATAAAAATACCAATTCTTTCAAAGTTAATCTATAAACTTAATTCAATCCCAAATAGAATTCAACAGGAAATTATCAGAAGAAACTGGATAAACTGAGCTTAACATCCATATAAAAATTTAAATTGGGTTCCTTTTTACATCACATGCAAAATTACAATTCAAATGTATTAAAGACTTAGATGAGAAATATAAAAATCTTTGAAGAACCTCTAAGAAACTATATATACTATCTAGATGTTGGAAGAAACTTGTCATTCAAGGAAGGAAATTCAGAAGCTATAAAGAAAAGATATACATGTTTGACAAATAAAAGTTTAAAACTTTTTGTACGGCAAAAGGATATCATAAATAAAAGTATAAACAAAAAATTTAGAAAAGTGCTGTTATAAATTGACAAGAAAAAGCCCAACAGAAAAATGAGCAAAGACTAACCAATTCACAGTACATTGCCAATAAGTATACAAAAATATGCTCACTGTAGTCAGGGAAATGCAACTTAAAGTACTATTGAGAAATCACTTTACAACCAGTAGACAGACAAAAATTTAAAAGAGCAATAACACCTATTGCTGGTAAGGATGAAAGAAAAAGTACTCTCACGCAGAGATGGTAGAAATATGATTTGGCAACAAATGTTTTAAAATTAAAACATACATATCCTATGAATCAGCAATTCCATTCTTTAGGAAGCTATTCCAAGATATATGTATAAGGATGTTTTTTATAGTGCTGTTTATTTGTGCAAAAATCTAAAAACAGAATTGAATTAATTATGAATGAATTCATTCTGAAAAACAGCTGAATAAACTTTGATACATTCATATCATGGGATTTTATTAAGCGATTATACAGAATGAAATAGACCTAAACTAGTTGACTTGTAAAGATTTGCAAAGGATATTGTTAAGCGAACAAAAACAAGACACAGAGGAGTGTATAATGTAACCCAATTTAAGTTAAAACCTCTACAAAGCTATATGAGTACATATACATATATGTTTATATATATTCACACAGACACATTTATATATATCAATTCATACACATGAAAAAGTACAAAATGATACATAATGAATAATTAGCACGTGTTATCTGGTGGATGGGGTATGAGATGGGTAGAGAAATGGCAGACAAGAGAAGGAGAGAAGCAAGAAGAAAAAGAGACTGCACTAAAATCACTAGTATGGAAGTTATGATTCAATATATTAAAAATTATATATATTTTACATAAGTATATATTTATTTTTCCTACGCAATTAGGAAGAATAAAAAGATATTTCTGTACTGACTTGTAGAGATGTCCATGAGAGAAAGTCAAAAGGCAGTTTAGAATAATGTATATATTATAAATTTATTTCTGTAAAAGAACACTCATCCCTTCTATATGTGTGCACGAGCAAGGAACAGTTATCAAATGGGACACAGTAGTTGTTAGCATTGGATATCTCTGGAATCCACACTAGGATTAGGGATAGGAGTGGGGATAATTAGCTTCTTTTTTATACACCTTTATGTGTTTCACTTCTTGAAAAAACAAAAACAAAAACAAATAAATGAACAAAGCCAAATGCCTACAGGAGCCAGAGTGAAGCAGGCTGAGCGAGGGCTGTGATGATGGAGAATACACACTTTAAACATTCAGACTGAAATTTTAAAAAATAACACAAAAACAATTTTGTGAGAGAAAAAAAGACACTCATTTAACCTTTTGTGTGTCCAGTGTTGAGAAATAAAAGTCTTAGGTGTCACAGAGATTTTTATGTAATAGGCAGGGAAACTACATATACTTTACGTTTTATCCATCAATTCTCCAATCACAAGATCCATAACCAGGCCCAAAGAGGAAGGCAGAATTCTTCCAGAATGCTTCTCTTTGATGCTAGAAGATGGACTATTACGAGAACAAGTACAAAGAACCTGTTTAAGTTGTCTTGTGTAAACCTGTAGAGCCGCTGGTTAAAACAACAAGGGCAATCCTCAATCATTCATTTTTCATTCTTTTTATTCAACCAGCATTCAGTGAACACTTACTATACCCCTGACATCATGAGGTGCTAGGGATACAAACATCAAGACATGGTCCCTGTTCACCATCCAGTGGGGAAGTGACAAGCTACAAAACAAGTCAGACTAAAATACAAACCAAGTGCGGATGGAACAGTTCATTCTGCCTGGAGATTCAGGGGCAGCTTCATCAAGGGGAAGGTTGATACTTGAGTCAGGCCATGTAGGATGTAGGATTTCAGAGGCAACAGCAAGAGAAAAAGGAAGGGAGTAGTATATTTGAGGAAAAGATCAGAATTGAGTCCAACCCACGAAAAGAATAAAGGAGAAAACTAGAAATTCAAATGTTCTAGCCTGAGGGTAAACGTTAAGTTCAATCCAAGTGCAAGATAATTTCCCACTCCATTCCTGCATGCCTGACATGTAGCAGTGCTCAGTACACAACAACTGGGTAAATCCTGACACACTAAGTAATCTCCCTGTTCAATTTACGGAATGATTTCAGCATATTACCATGTACCGTCCAGGGTCTAAATCTCCCATCATTCCTTTGAGATGTGTGTTTTCAGTTCTGACAGCTTTATATCTCATATCTGAGACCTGAAAGGAGATTAGTAGGTTAAAGTGAATGTAAAATTCATAATAAAAGCCCTTAGTTCTCTTAAAATTAATTTTATTTTGTTAACGTAAATATTTTCTAAGTGTAGTGAAGGGGAACCCTTCTTAGGCAGGATCACCATAAATCAGATATTCTCATTCAGTTCTCCTATCTTTGGCAGGCCCCCACTTTACCCTCCTTTTCTGACCAGTGCTAAATTAAAAACACATATTTATAACAATGAGTCATTTACTTTTTTCTTTCCAATTCCAAAATTCCATTTATCACTTCTATTTTCTATCGTATGTAAACCATCACCAGAAAATCACAATTTTAAAAACATGTTTGAATAACACTGTCCATTAATTTCTTCACTACTTGATTAATTTTTACAATGTGCAAATATGACTTTCATATATATTTTTTTAATTTTATTTATTTATTTTTTCCCCCAAGCCCCAGTAGATAGTTGTATGTCACAGCTGCACATTCTTCTAGTTGCTGTATGTGGGACGCGGCCTCAGCATGGCAGGAGAAGCGGTGTGTCGGTGCGCGCCCGGGATCCGAACCCGGGCCGCCAGCAGCAGAGCGCGGGCACTTAACCGCCAAGCCATGGGGCCAGCCCTGACTTTCATGTTTAATTTCGTTCTTTCTGATATTTGTGCCAAATTTCCTTCTTTTTTTCATTTTCTCTCCTAATTTATTTTTTCCCCTGATTTCTTCTACTTGACAGTACTTAGACATAGTATCTGCCCTTTTATTTATCTAGGGCTCATTTTTATATAAAACACTTCCCTTAAAAAGATTTACTTTTTTAAATTACAAAATATATTCTCCTTGACAAAAACCTAAAAATATAGAAGAATATCAAGGTAAAAAAAAAATCATTCATAATCCAGCTACCCAGATCACTATTAACACCTGTAAAATATCCTTTGCTATACAGGTACAACCAATGCTATTATCCCATCTGTGCTGTTTTCCTGTGCATTATACAGATTAATCACAGTTTAAGGCTTATAACTGGGCAAAGGCAAATCTTTTATTGTTTTTATAGTACACAGGATTTAAATAGCCATGTTATTTGTGAAGTGGCCCTCAAATGCCTAGAAAATTAATGAATGGTGCTCTCAAAACCTCTAGATTTGAGGTTAAAAAAACCCTACCAATTTGATGATGAGTAAGGGATTGAGGGAATTTCAAAATAAATAGGAAGAAAGGAAGAAAGGAAGGAAGGAAGAAAGGAAGGAAGGAAGAAAGGAAGGAAGACGGCAGGGAAGACTTAGAAGTTACTTGCAGTATTTTAACAGTAGAATGTTATAATTGCTCTTTTTCCCCGTGAACCATGCTGTGCATGGAGTCAAAGTTCAGTAAATATGAACTAATTTTCATGTTTCAATGTCCATTTTTAAAAACCCTAAAATAAATATATGAAATGGAGTGGGAAGTATCCAAGAAAAGCGGGAATAGAGGTTTTTATTTTTTGAAGGATAAAAATGTTAATGGAAGGGAACTATAGAAAACAAATTCAGGAAGAAATCTTTGACTAGACTATCCGGCGGGAGGTGGTCAAAATATGTCACAAGAAAATGTTAGGATGAGATTTAATGAAATTATCTTGTGCCGTCACTTATTTCCCTGGTTCTTTTTGATGACACTTTGCATTATCTCACAAAGGTTTCCTGTGACTCCACAAAGCATTTCTGGGACGCTAGCCTCAGAAACAATACCGAGAAATGCAATGGTTTTATTAGTCGATAATGAGGCTGCTATCTGCCCTGGGCAAGAGAGTGGCCTGGACAGGTGCAGTCCTGCTGCTTGCATACCTGTTGTTTTGCTAACATTTTTTCTTTTATTTCTAACTCCATTTTTAACTGTCTTTCCAGAAGGGCAGCTTTCTTCATGATAGTTGCTATAGTGATCTCCTTCTGATGAAGCTCCTCTGTTAGGTCAGAGATTTCATTCCTCATTCTTTCCTGCTCAGAGCTTTGGTACTCTTCTTCCCGATAGAGTTGGCTTCTTATCTGCAGCAGAGACATTCCAGAAAATATTAACAAATCCCTTTATTTATAAAGCAGCTTAAAGCTTTTATTGGCCATTTTCAGTCTTCCTATTCTATCTTAAAACTTTGGCAGGCCCCACTCTACCCTGCTTTTCTGATTGATGCTAAATTAAAAACAGATACAATAATGATTCATTTACTTTTTTCCTTCCAATTTCAAAATTTCATTTCTCACTTCTATTTTCTGTTGTATGCAAATCAACCGCTACTAGTGATGCTACTCTGATAACTACTTTGACAGGAAGGTGGAGAAAGTATTATCAAGCACTTTCTCCCTGCTTCATTGAGGTATAATTGGTATACAAAAAACTGCACATAATTAATGTATACAATTTGGTGAGCTTGGACATACATTGATGTTTCTATCACCACAGTCAAGGTAATAATCATATCAATTACCTCCAAAACTTTCCTTTGGTCCCTTCATTGTTTTTTTAAATTTTTTTTTGTGTTAAGAACACTTAATATGAGATCTACCCTCTTAACAAATTTTTAAGTTCACAATACCTTGCCGTTAACTATGGGCACTGTGTTGTGCAGCAAATTCTGGAACTTACTCGTCTTGTACAACTTAACTTTATACCCACTGAACTATCACTCCAGAGTGGTGTGGTGGAAGACACTGGACCAAGAGGTTGATGGACCAAGCATTTTTTAGGGAGAAAAAATTGGCTTAGAGAGGTTAAGTGACTTGCTCAAAGCCATAAAGCTATTAACTGGCAGAGCTAGGACTAGAACCTAGGACTCTTGGCTTTAAATTCAGTGCTTTTTCTAACTAAATTGTGCTGTACTGTTTGTGACTAAACACTATGTTTTTCAGAATTGTGTTATAATAAATTTCAAACTTAATGTGTCCACGAAAACACATCCCCTCCTCCCCTTGAGCCTGTGGCGTCTCATATTCTTGACCTTAGCTAAGCCTTCTGTGTTAGGAACATCTGGATCACCTTGCTCCTCCCTGCCCTCGTCCTCCCAAATCCAGTCAGGCAGCAAATGCTGCTCCTTCTGTTTCAAGCTCTCTTAAATCTCTCCTCTGCTCTCCATTCCTTCTATCACTGTCTTAGTCCAGCCTCATAGCATCTTTCTAGAAATCATTCACTGTCTCTAATTCTTTAAGTTTGGAGATAAAGTACACAATCCTTGATTTCAAAAAATCATAGTCCATTGGGGGAACAGCAAAATACAGAGTTACAACATAGTGTAGCAATCCATGTCAGCCGTATATAGTGCAGGGGTATTTAACCCAGCCTGAGGGTGGCAGGATAGGATTCCCAGAGGAGGGGACATCAGACCAAATACTGAAGGATGATTGGAAGCCAGACAGAAAATAGAGATGGAGAAGGGCTCCCAGGCAAAGAATGCAGTGAAGGCAAGGGGGTGAGAGAATGCGCCCTCAGTGAACCAAAAGGAGTTTGGAGGGGCTGGGACCTGGAGTGTTGTGAGAAATAAGGCCGGAGAGTTAAGCAGATGTCATCCATAGATATTCATATGAATTTACCCCAGGGCACTTATTCTTAAAATTGATTTTTTTTTCATTTCATCTTTAAACATTTCAGGATATATCTCTAAAGAATAAGGGCACACTCTCCCTCTTTTTTTAACGGAGCCAGAATACTATTATAATGTCTTAAAAACATTAATAACAATTCCTCAATATCATCAAATATCCAGGCCGTTTCCAAATTTAAAATTTTATCAGAAATGTAATGAATGTTTTTAAAATTTGTTTATTTGAATTGAGATCTAAATATGGTCCACACATTGAGACTGGTTCATATCTTTTTACAGCCTCTCTTTTGTGTGTGTTTGTGTGTGTTCTAAGCACTCTACATACATCATCTCATTTAATCTCCACAATATCGCTCTACTTTGTAGATTGGAAAATTAAGGTACATAACTTTTCACAGTCACGTTCCTGGTGACAGGCAGTCTGATTCCAGGACCTTACTCCTTGTGCTGTGTAACCTCTGTGAGCAAAGCCCTACAAGGGAGCTCATACACTGGAAAAAGCTAGAGTGGGCTGACCTAACCTGGAAAGTAGACATATCCAGAAGGCAAATGGGATCTGAGAGGTCCAGTCTCAGGCTCTATACCACCAACCCCTCATCTGATTCTATTCTTATTACTAACATTTTTAGAATTTCAGAGTTGGACATGGTCTAACGCCATCAATTAACACATGGAAAAAAAAGACTCACAGGGAAGGGAAGTGACTGGGCCTAAATTATCCAGCTCCCGAGACTAGGAGACTGGAGTGCAAATGACCTCACCCTGAGGACAATATTACAAGTCTCTTTCATCTCCAATCTTCTCTCTCCAATTATTTTCCTTACAATTTACTTGATGAAACAACAGGGTTGTTGTTCTGAGTTTGTCCCAGTTTTGGATTTTTCTGATTGCATCCCTGTTGTGTAGTTAACACGTTCTTTTAAAATTGAACTTTTAAAATGTAAAAAGAAGAATAGATTATTATGAAAAAGGAATAAACTTTTTATTATTTTCACAACATTTAGATATTAAAACAACATGCTATACTGCAAATCTTCTTTCTAAATGAGATTAATTTACTTAGCTCTAAATGACTTTTGGCTTTACTAAAAATGTCAATTTTATCACAAAATAAATGACTAAAAATCATTGTATATTGAAAAAAGAGAAAGGAATAAAACCCTTGCAAGATTCATAATACATGGATCTTGTTAGTTTTATTACAAGAGAATGAAGATACTCTCGACAAACACTTCCTGGAAGCAATAGCTATTTATACACAATTCATTTGCTAACTTTTCTGCCAGCAATGCATTATCTACAGGTCTCCAAGAGCCTACAATGAGATTTGTGCCTTGTAGTCTCCCTTCATATCAAAACTGTGCAAAATCAGTAGATTCCTTATATTACTCCAAGTTTTATTACTCTCTCTAAATCTCTGAGGTTAAGAATAGTGTAACTATACTTTAGCTGGCTTTAATCAACCTTTTATTATAATGCTCTCACTGGGGACACCAGTAAAGAACAGTCTTTTAAAGTTATATTTTTAAATATCAGTAAAATTAGTTTCATGGGATTATGTAAAAAATATAAGGAAAATGATCGTTAATTCATAACACCTTTTCTACACTTAACAGTTGCCTGACGATCAACTCTTTGGGAGACAGGATTTGACTTTCACATCATTGAATTTCTTACAGAAATAAGCAGAATAGCTACAATCCTACTAGATACTCAATAAATGTTTATGGAATTTATGTAAACAATAACTGAATTTATGACCCTACACAATTATGGGAGACCTTAGCCTTAATATTAATTAATTCATTCTTTAAATATTTTCACTAATTGTGTGTCAGGCATTGTGCTGGGCACTAGATCATAATTCAAAGCCACATCCAGGTTTTTCCTACTTTTAACAATTGTTTAGATTGTACAGCATTGAATATTCTGTGTGATCCTCAAACCTAAGACCAAAGAACTGGGTAGGAGCCATGATAAACCCACGGAAAGAAAGCCATACTGGATTTTACTAGAGGGAGAAGAGAATGTACTTTCTGTAGGAGAATTAAGAACCACAATGTCTTCAAGGACGGTGCCCAGGTCTCATTCATCCTCGTATTCCTAGCTCCTGGCAGGGTACTTGGCAGATGTTAGGTGCTCAATGACAACATGTGTGTGTAACCAATAACAACAGCAGCCAGTGTTTACTAGGTGCTTCCTCTGAGCTAGGTAGGCCTGGTTCTAAGCACTTTACATGCATTATTTTACGGATGTTAACTTAAGGGAAAAGTATGGACTCTGGAGCCAGATTTCTTGGCCTCTGCCCCTTAACAGCTGTGTAATATTAGGGGAAATTACCTAACTTCTCTATGCCTTAGTTTCCTCAAATGTACCTTCTAAGACGGTTGTGAGTAATAAATGAATTAGGATTTGTTAAGCCCTTAGAACAGCTCCTGGCACATGGTAAGTGCTATTTAAGGAGCAGCTACTATCAGCTCATTTAATCTTCATCACAACATTATGAGGTAGGTATTAATTATCTCATCCCCATCCTAGAAATGAGGACCCTGAGCAACTTGCACGGGCAGCTTCCCCAAGCTTAGGCTTCTACATGTGCTTGCGTGTCTGAGACTGTGCTCTTACACTGCTTGCTATAAGCCACCTCCACAGAGCCACAGGCCCTCCATGTCTCATGGGCATGAGTGGCAGAGTGCGGACCTAAGGTTTGTGTCTTTTATAGCATCACATAGGAGAATGTTAGAATTAGCAGCTTGGTAAGTTATTATATTAGGAGAAAATACAGAAGGAAAAAGAAAGGAGTGAGAAGGAAGATGTTGTCCCCCTTTGTATTCAAAGACTTCAGATCTGCCTGGCAGAATGGAGCTCATTATATTCCATACCTTGTTCAATTCTTTTTCATGATTTGGTTGATCTGGGGTCACTGAAAACAGCTCTTTCCTTTTCCTTTCTGGTTCTTTAATAGAAAGTGAGTAAGATGATTCAAGCCTACAAATTAAAATGAGTAAAAATTAAGCTTAGCTTGATAAACTGTTATGATTATATTGTTAATTTAGACCATTGTAGGCTGCAGAGATAGATTATTAGTCTGTTGGAAACACTTCTGGTTACAGAAATTGCAAGTTCTAATACATTCAGATCCCATAAGTATTTACATAGTTAACTGAGTGCAAATGGTTTCAGCGAAAAAAATAAATAAATAAAAGGTAGCAATTAATATGGAATTTCAATTATACATTAAAAATTGGAAGAATACTGGGTTTGCATATGTAGATAAGATTTTTGGATAAGAAGAAAAGGCTGTTTCCTATAACAAAATAGCTTGGGAACCTGTTAAAAAAAGGAAATACACCTGACTTGCTTCTACCTTGCGCAAAGGAACTGTCAGGAGAAGTCCAAGGGGAGCAAACTACTCCAAAAAAGTGACCCCAAATGATTAAACCTGACAGTCTACCCAGAGAGAGCTCAAATACATCTATTCTTTGGATGCTCAATTTATAAAATGGAATTGCAACCACGTATGGATACTAGAGGGGAAAAGCAGAAACTAGCATAAAAAGTACAATTTCCACAGGAAGTTTGGAGGGGTGTAAGCAGGTAATGTTCACTTCCACATAGGGAAGTTGGTAAAAAAAATCATTAAAACAGAAAAATACAGATAATCAGGCAAGGAAAGTGCATGCTTTCTATTTCTTGACTAACCTAGTAGAGTGTTTGGAAGAATGTACCCACCTGTGGGTACAATTTTAGATTTCCAAAGAACTTTTTAAAAGGTTCCACAAATCAAAAACTTAAACCACACAAACAAAACAAAATCTGAGTAATGAGAGAGAAATAATTCATCTAAAGATTGAAAATAAAGGGAACTTTTAAAGGTATAAATTACTAGTGATATTCCTGAGGTATGTATGTCTAGACTGGATTGCTTTTTCTGATTATCAAATATATATGTTAACTATAGAAAACAGAGTATATCAGAGTATATACTGGTTGAATGTTGTCAGCCAGGAAAAATCATCGTTAGCATTTTCGTGTATATGAATTGTCTTTTTTCCTATGCATATGTGTGTAAATACATACATGTTTCCCATACAATTAGAATGTACTGTACACATTATTTTTCAGTCCCTTTTTGTTTCCTACTCAGTAATATATTGTGAACATTTTATCCAATATTTTCCTAAAACATTATGTCAGGATCAGTATTAAATTTTTCTTATTTCTTATGATTTGGAAGAGGTGAAAAATGAAATTTCCTCTTTTTCAGTTCTTCCTAAGCAATTTCAGGGAGCGGAATGCTGAACTGAATGGTGAAAACCACATGATGATCTTGCAAATTTCAGTGAGTGAATGGAACAAATGTCAAACTTCAATGTGGACAAGTCCAAAGAAGAAAACAATCATCATGCTAATATAAATATAAAAAGGAATTATCATTTGTCATGTAGGAAAAGAATGTTGGAATTATTTTTAATAACTCTTAGAACATATCAGCCCAAGGTGCTTCTACAACTAAAAAAAGAAAAAGCTAACAACATTTTAGCATTATTGAGAAAGGTTCTGAAAATGAATAAAAACATTACATTCCTACTTCTATAAATCTATTGTACATGTACACTCAGTAGTCTGGGCTGCTTCACCTTAATACAACTGTAAAGAAGAAACAGATCCCAAATAAAAGAAACCAAAACAATAAAGAAGATAGAACCACATTGATATGAGAACAAACTGAAAGGATTAGAAACTTTCAAGGGGAAAGATGAAGGTTGAGATATCTATGCCCAAAGTCTAAAATACAATGGAAGCCGTGAAAAGTTAAATCTCTATCTTTTCATCAAATTTCAGAATACTAGAACTGAGGAATACCCCAAATGAGAAAGATGTAGTTTGGAGACCAAAATAAATACCAACTTAATTAGAGGATGGCAATCAGGCATAGCAAAAGAGTTGTATTGGCCAAATATGTGAGTAACTGCAAGATTTTAGATTAAACCCTGTATTGAAGGAGAGCTGGCAATGTCTGGAATGCAGCATTGGCCTTGTGAGATAGCTCCACAGAAAGCACCTACAATACTTTTCACAAAACCAAAGCTAGATAGGGGTTGAATGGTTTGCTCTTCTAGGAAATTTCTTATGTTTTTTAGGCATATACATTATTTGTGCGAAGACATTTCTCACCAACACACCACATTGCAAAAGTGCTTTGCACATAGTATATTTCCAGTTGATTTATTAATGATTGGTGACGATGATATATAGCTTGTATATGGAGCACTCAATAATGCTGCCTGGCTAATAGGCCTTCTAGCATCTTTGGTGAGAAATACAATGGGTCATTTTTAGGGATCTTAATTTTCCATTTGTTAAGTGTAGACCTCAAAGAAATGCTAGCAGTTCGCACAATTTTGAAGAAATAATTATTCCCTTTAAAACAATGTAATCATCTTTCAATAAAATATCTCTCACCATTTGGCTACTCAGTTTTTAAAAATCCTATCATTGGTCTGGCATTAGCCTTCAGATTTGAGAAGGATTCAAGTTCTAATGAGAATTAGAACATCAATGAATGGTTAGAACAGTCAAACTGTCTATTCACAAGCATAAACATTGACTAATCCTCACCATCCCGTTTGTGGTAATGGAGTATGCAATATCTGTCCGATTTTGAAAGAGGAAAAAAAATCTGTTCTAACAAAACCCTGAATGGGACTGACAAGGTGGTAAGCATGGAGGCCAAAATAAATAACACATTTACAAGTGAAAAAGTTAATAATAGGTTTACAGGCAATCAAAAGAAAAGCATTTGGAAAATATGTTATAAATCTTGTTTATCAACATATATAATTAAATACCAGCTCTATACTATTGTTTTTATAATATCCTGAAGAATAAAGTTCTAAGAAAACTTCTGACTCAGTGTGACACTTAAGTATCCATAAATCAGAACATGATATCATGTTCTAGGTAAATAAAGATATTAATTTTGAAGATAATTATTAATTTTATTTTTAATATCTAATATTATCCAATAATTAACAGCTTGTTAATAGAAAACAAATAGACTTTTTATTCTAGTTCCAAATATAAAACTCTTAAAAATATTCAAAGATCATGTTTTGAACAGTTTTTCTCAGGCTACTGAATACAAAGAATTTACCTTTTTTTATTTTCTTGAGCATTTTGGCACTCGCCTATTTTTAATAATTCTCTGTGCAACTGCAACCGTTCCATTTCTATAATTCTCAAGAGATCATCACGTGACTGTAACTCACTTTTCACTTCTGAGAGTCCTGCTTCCATGGCCTAAATAAAAACATCAAAAATTTTCAATGCTCATATGTGGATATCATGATGTATAATACATTTAAAAATATTTAACACCTGTGAACCAGCTTAATTTCAAATGAACTGATATTTAGTCCTTTGCGGGCTCTGTGTTACAGAATTTCATTCATTTAGTCAACAAATATTTACTGAGCTCTGATTACGTGCTCAGCCCCGAGCATATAGAAACAGAATCTGTCCTCAGTGAGCTTACAGTCTAGTGAGAAAGACAAAGAATAACCAAATAATCACACAAATATGGTCACACTGTCTGTGAATTTGAAAGAGAGAAACGTAAAAGTATGAATAAGATATCAACGCATCAAATTTGGATTAATGCAAATAATTCCCAGTTTAAACAAGATAATAGCCAAGAAAAATCTAATTTCAAAGCGGGCCAAGAAAGTGAAATATAAACCATGGTTTATGATTCCATTATTGCCCGAGAGTAGCCCTACTTTAGCTGGGAACTAGAAACACCAGCAATTCTGGGAGTCCAGTGTTTTATCTTGTTACTAGGACAGGCTTGAGCAAGTTTAAAAGCCGTTGGGAAGGACCCAGTGAGGAGGCAGAAGGGGTAACAGCAATGATGTCAGATTCCTGAGAAGGTGGGTGGGATGGGTCCTGAAGCACAAGAGAAAGAACTGCCTAAAGAGAAAGAGTGCCTCTGCTCTTGCAATAGGAAAGGAGGAAGATGGAATGTAGGCAAGCACACGCATTTGGGTGTGGGGAGATAAGACAGTGGCCATCTGTTGGCTTCCATTTTCCCTGTGAAATAATAAGGCACCATCAATGGAAGGAGAGGTGGAGGTGGGGCTATGGGAGTGGTTTTTGAGAGTGAGAAGGTTTAAATGGCCTGCAATGGGAATGGCAGAGTTCGCTGATTGGAGCAACACAGTAGGATTCCCGGCAGTGTTGAATACTCATTTATTTGTGAGCATGACCTGTTGAGTGATTTTCTCCAGCAGTACTTGGCTGTTCTCTGGGAGAGAGGAATGGCGGAGTCCTTCCGTATCATCTAGGTCTCTTCCACTCAGTTATACAGGGAAACTAATGTTTTCTCAGTACGCCTGACCCAGGTCATCAAATCCATTGCCACTTTTATAGATGGGGCAAGTGAGAGCCAGACTTGGTCGAAAGTTACACAGCTCATAAGTAGCAGATTTTGGAACAGAAAAATCCAGATCTTTTGTCTACTAGTCCAGTTAGACCATTCAAGATGCAAAAATAATTCATTTCACACAAAATAGTAAGAGAAACAGACCTGCAACTTATTGGTAAAGACAGGCTGAGGTACTCCAAAGGGTAGGAGTTTCCTCTGCTAATCAAGGCTGTAGAAAACACTACAGATATTTTTAAAACATAATTTGTTCAATAATTATTTATATATATCAACAGATTTATTCAAATATAATCCACATACCATAAAACTAACCCATTTAAAGTATACAATTCATTAGATTTTAGTATATTCACAAAGTTGTGCAAGTCGCACCACTATCTAATTCCAGAAGATTTTCATCACTCCCAAAATAAACCCAATACCCATTGGCAGTCAATCCTCTTTTCCTTCCCCTTAGTCCCGGGCAACCACTAACATATATTCTGTCTCTATGGAATTGCCTATTCTGGACATTTCATACATATGGAATCATCCAATACGTGGCCCTTTGTGACTGGCTTCTTTCACTTAGCACAATGCTTTCACGGTTCATCCATGTTGTAGCATGTATCAGTACTCCATTCCTTTTTATTGATGAATAATATTTAATAGTATGGCTATACCACATTTTGTTTATTTATTCATCAACTGATGGCCATTTGGGTGTTTCTGTTTTTTAGCTATTATGAATAATACTGCTATGAAAATTCATGCACAAGTTTTTATGTGGACATATGTTTTCTTATTCATTAATTCTTATCCAAAAATTCACAAAGCCTAGAAATATAACTGTGTAGACAGTACAGGACATATGACTTCCCAGATAAACTTTTTTTTTTTTTTTTGGTGAGGAAGATTCACCCTGAGCTAACATCTGTTGCCAATTTTCCTTTATTTTTTTTTTGCTGGAGGAAGATTAGCCCTGAGCCAACATCCGTGCCAACCTTCCTCTATTTTGTATGTGGGTTGCTGCCTCAGCATGGCTGACGAGTGGTGTAGGTCTGCGTGGGATCCAAACTCAAGATCCCAGGCCGCCGAAGCAGAGCGTGCCACTATGCCACGGGGCTGGCCCCCAGATAAACTTTTTTTTATCAAAGTCTTAAATATATATTATTTTGCAGGAGAACTAGAGACCTGGGTTCAGTGAAGGACCTAACTGCAATAGTTTAGTCCCAGAAGTTCCTGGCTGACTTAGAAATAAGTATAAAAATATATTCAAATAAATTTAATAGACTTGTTTGAATAAAGATTTGTTTGGATAAAGTCCCTGTTTCAAACAGTGGGGACTTTTCAGATGAGGTTAAATTTCAAAATAAACAAAAGAAATGTGAAACAATAGATTAGCAAGTAGAAAGACAAACCACCTTGATGTGAATGTCATCCATTACTTTGCCCAATTGAAGAAGGCACTATCTGGGCTCCCTGCTTTGCAAATTTGCCACCAGGGAGCAATCTACCATGAAGCTGCATGTAGAAAAGTGGGCCTGCCTTCACTTGGGGAAGGAGAGACACAGAAGGGCCCTCACTGCAGGCCAATGAAATGTAGTGTCACCCTGGGCTAGCGTTACCTGAAATTCTGGAAAATATGATACTAATAGAGTCTGTTTGTTTAATGTTAATAGAAAATAATACCTGTAAGTGCGACATTTGGAGATATCATTAAGGGGGAAAAAAAGCTTATTTGTGATCTAGCTACACAGGGAGGGAAATTTATGTTAAAATTGAAACTTTTCATAATGCAAATCAATAATAATGATTTGACACATTTTTCTAACATGAATCAGTATGCAAAAGATTTTAATTATAATTCATAGGATTATGTAAATTGACTATAAAAGTAGAAGAAAAGAGGCTTTGTTGATATTGATAAATTGACAATTTTTTTTTTTTTGACGAAGATTAGCCCTGAGCTAACATGTGTTGCCAATCCTCCTCTTTTTTGCTGAGGAGGATTGGCCCTGGGCTAACATTTGTGCCCATCTTCCTCTACTTCATATGTGATGCTGCCACAGCATGGCGCGATAAGCGGTGCGTAGGTCCTCACCCAGGATCCAAACCTGTGAACCCTGGGCTGCCAAAGCGGAGCGTGCAAACTTAACCACTACACCACTGGGCTGGCCCCTGCAGTTGTTTTTTGACTTGTGCAGTATCCCTTTGAATTCAATGTTAATAATACTGAGCTGACACAAAAATTAGTGAATTTATTTAACTTAGATGTAATTTTAAAATTGGCATGCTTTAGCATAAAAGTCAAATCAATTATTTGTCAGTAAGGATGCAAATATTCAGGAAAATGATTCTTTGGTACTTGATTCAGTTATTGGAACACTTTCAAGTTGGTTTGTAACAACTTGTGTATGTAAATCAACTTTTTTAACTGTAAATTTTATGAAATCTAAATACAGATCAGGTATTTCCAGTGGATACTTAGCATCCAAATTGAAATATATTGTAAGTGTAAAATACACACCAGACTTTGAAGACTTAGTATGAAAAGAAATGTAAAATATCTCATTAATAATTTTTACATTGATTACATGTTGAAATGATAATACTTTGGATATATGTTGTGTTGAATAAAATATATTACTATTATGTATTAATTTCACCCATTTCTTATTCTTTTAATATGGCTACTAGAAAAATTTAAATCATATTTGTGGCTTGCATTATATCTCTATTGGACGGTGTTGTTCTAGCACCTTAATGACACATTAACAAGCAACCAAAAAAGGTCATTTTCGGGGGCATAGATATTAGAAAAAATGCAGAACAATTTATTGTTGTCATTAACTTCCAATGAGAAATAGTGCACATTTGAAAAATATGAGTATAGTGCAGCACAGTAAATAAATATATGCAATGGAATTAATATGTATACTGACACATTTCAAGGTTGTAGAAAGAAAGTGAGAAGACGTGATTCATGTGAAAATTCAGATGCATCTGGCACTAAAGTGTGTTATAAACTAAACAGAATTTTATATAAATTAAGTGACAGTAATTCAAATCAAAATGGTTGTCTTTTTAAATTCATGTGCAAGATGTGGAACACTGTCATATGAAAGTTTTGCAAAAAGAGAAGAGAAACTTCTTTCTAAGCACATGCACTGGTTACAATGATTATTTACCTCTAATTATTCCCATTTGGTAAAATATAAATTTTGTATAAAACAAGTTTAAGGCCCATCTGTTTAGTTAGAAATTTGCCTAATGGTTTGACACACAGTGATTTTAAACCTTCAAATCAGTTACCAAATAGTAAATAATTGATATCTTCTCATTTAGTATTTATTCCAAAGCAAAAGAATGAAACATAAGTGGAATTCAGAAATAAAACAGGAAAAAGCCCAAATAAAAGCATTATTCTCAGCATTTTTTTCCTAAACGCATCAAAAATAATTAGTGTTTTCCCGGGAGTAGAAATCTTATCTTTTAGATACTTTGAAGGTTTGGAACCAAATTACTTCTCAAAATCTTTTCATTAGGACTATAATATATCTTTGGTATGTGTGTGTGAAACATACTCCAGAATACTTTGGTTGGTTTTTTAACACACGCGATTCTTTTGTGAAGTATAAAATGGAGAGTCTTAGTTTAAATTTAGTAATGTTCCTAGATCCAAGGATAACTAAATTATTTTTTTAAATGAACAAAAATTTGTAAAAATAACTTTGGTAAACTTTCTTATAGAAATTCATGGATAATAAATAAATAATAGTCATGTTAATATTTATCATTAACTATAGAAAACATCACAAAGTAGAGAATTACTAGTAAAGAATATGAGAAAAATAACATTTTAAAATTTAAAGCAAAGTTTCTTAACCTCAGTACTATTTACATTTTGGTCTGGATAATTCTTTGCAGTGGGGGTGGTCTTGTACATTGCAGGATGTTTAGCAGCATCCCTGGTCTCTACCCAGTAGATGCCAATAGTACCCCTTTCCCCTGTTGTGACATCCAAAAATGTATCCAGGCATTGCCAAGTGTCACCTGGCGAGCAAAATCACCCAGCAGAGAACCACTGATTTAAAGGAAAGTCATAAAAATTAGGCAATATTGTTACTTTATAACCTTTAGTGTAAATATCAATAAAAATATTTCAAAATTATATTGACTTCTATGAATAGCTGGGTTTTAATTTTGTTAGTCTATATTCAGGAATATTAATAAATTATTAAGTACATTAATAAGTGTATACATGAGGAAAAATCAAGTGGGTAACATGGACTTTCCTTAGCCCAGACAACCTATAGAGGCTTCTCAGGAGTGCATGTAAGCCCCTGGAAGTTTGTAGAGATCTTGGGTGAGGGGATGAGTCATATCCTGTTGGACTTGGGTCAGGAATGTAAGTCAATTAAATGATATTGTTAAAAGATAGGGTGGCCTTGGACATCGGGTGGTTCGAGTCCTCTAACTTCCTGCTACACGTTCAGACTCCCAGGTTGCACTTTGTCTCTTCCTGTCAATAGAAGTGTGTCAATGTGATAAGTGTGCGAAGTACAGGTTTACGGCATTTACTTGGAGAGAGGGTAGAGATTATAATATGAACCCGGAATGTTAATTTAGTAAAATCTTTCACTGTACACTCTTCCTCTATTTGTAATATTCCTTTTTTTAACAAGATTCTGCAACTTACTTCCTGGAAAAGTCTAAAAGATAAGGTTCTAAGAAAGAGAAAGCTGGGGTTGGTCAAGGAAAGCATTACAGAGAAAGCCAGTCATACTGCCGAGAGAGGAGAACAGAGGCTCCTTCTAGAATAGGGTAAGAGTAGTGATTTCTATTCTGCAAGTGAGCCAAGAACCAAGCGCCGAACCTCAGCCTATAAATGGGGATGTGCTTAGATGCCGTAATAGGTCCAAACAGAATTTTCTGGGGGAGATTAAGAGGAACTAATAGTGAAGAAGCTGAACCTCACCAAAGGGTAGAACCAGACTTCATAACTGGACTCGCTAATGAAATATGTTTCAGGCAAACTAAAGAGAACAGAACAAAACAGATCTGAGCAGAAAATAGATTTCCAGAGACCAGAACCAAAAAGACCTCAAAAAGGGACAAAGAGAACTCTTCAGTCTGTGCAGGATAACCTGAAACCTGGAGGAGAATATTTTGGGAAGTATCCAGAAAAATAATCTCCTTATTTATTGATTGTGATCCTGGTGCGGACTCCAGCAGTGCAAAGACAGCTGCATAATGTAAGTTTAAGTTGTCTTTAAATCAGGGCCAGAGGTGTGACCAGTTGTCCCATACCAGGGAGATGAACGGGAAGTAGCCCCTGAGAGGGAGAGAATCCCATCAGAACCAGCAGTCATGCAGAACCACCTCAAACAGGACTGCGTGGGCTGACTGACAAGCTAACCACTGGACACCGCCTGGACAACCTCTAGAGCAGAAGAATAAGGGCTAATCTCATTTATCTTTTAGCGAAGCCAGAGAAAACATTAGCAATACCTTTTCTATTTCTAGAAAATTTATGGCTTCCTCCAGGTTTAGTATTTGTGGTTTAGCTTAATTTGTCTGTTTACATCTGTTTTCTAATTTGTCTTAGAATAACACCCCCCCTCCAAACAAAGCTGGAGCTTGGGATGGGGGAGATGTACTTCTCTTAGAAATGCCACGCAATAGGAGAAGCTGGGAGCCTTGTGTTGTGTCCCCTTGCAAACTTGGGGAAAGGGAACACAGAAGAGTACATGCTGGCAGAGAAAGAAGTTAAAGGACTAATCTCATATATAAATGTGACAGGATAGGGGGATGAGGAGTTGCCTGAAGACTAAGATATGACCCTGGGAGTTTAAGTGGCAGAAGATCCTGAGGTGGAATAACTTAGAGAAGTAGAAGTCTGCTCAGACAGTGACCTGAGAAAGTCTACCTAAGCGTGGGGAGGGAATAGAGTGGGACAAGAAATGGGTCAATTGACACAGAGGAATGGGTAGAAAGAGGCTGACTGTTTGGAGGTGGGAGATAAGACCTAGAATGGGAGATAAAACTATAGAATGTCTCAAGTAACTGGGATATCTGTGAATAAGAAATACATATTTAGTAAAGAAATGGATCATGACCAATTATGATGAATGCTATATAACCTTCTTAGTGGTTGCAAAAAGTAGAGAGACAAAAGAAAAAAGATTTTTGAGTTAAGAAAAAAATTAATTCTTGTAAAAACCATCAATCATATCTGCCAATGTGGAAGTTACTCCCCCCACCAAAAAAAAAAATCTCCAGGCCACTTGTTTGGTAAATGATTCTGATAAGGTTAACAGTGATAAGTCACAGGGAGTGAAACCCGTGCCTCTCACTGAGGTTATGAGATTGTTGAACCCTTAATGATTTCCTGGATGTCCAACCCAGGATTCCTGTGAGTCAAAGAGGCACAGGGCCAGAGAGAATGAATAGTGGGGACACAGGGTGGTGTGCAGCTAAAGCGCCATGGTTTTAGGCACGGAGGTCTGTAAGTGCCCGCTCTTATACTGCACTGGTAATACATTATTATTATGTCACTGCAGAACCAAAGTGCACTCGAGTGGGGTAAATTACCTATGGGATTACTGAATTTACTCATCAAGTGAGAGTTACATACTAAGAGGAAATATGAGGTGAATTTACACATGTAATATAAAATTTGCTTTCTAATCCATATACCTGTTGAGTCATCATTTATATACCTCATGGGCAATATCAGTTGAAAAATAAATAAATCTTCACCTGGCACTGTCTTTGGTACATTTTCAGTTCTTGTAAGAGCTTCTGATTTTCATCTTGTAACTTATTCCTGCTTAGTGCTATTTCACTCACAGCTGATTTTAATTTTTCAATAATGAACTCATCTCTTTCACTGGTTTCACAACTGGGATCTGGTTCACACATCAACAGAGGAATTTCAGAGCTGCCGTCTTCTATGTGCTGTTTTTTACCATTTAGTTGAGTTTGGTAACTTTGTGCCTGTTTCTGAGAAATATGAAAACTGTGTCAACTAAATGGAGAATATCATATTTAAGCTTACATAAAGTTCAAGAATGATAGACAAGAATTAAGAAAAACATCTTTAAATACGTCATTAGATAATGAAGCTTTGTCCTTTGTAATTCAGTCTTGTGTTTATTCTGAAACCTCAATTTCAGATGGCATAAAGAGAAAACATATTTGTATAACCTCAGGGCAAAGATGTAGAATAGGGTGCGGGTCTTGGGGTAGGGAATTCTTATTCACCAAGAAAGAAAAAATCTTGAAGATATAAAAAGAGGAAAACTATGGATTCAACTGAACAATAGTTGAAAATATCTCTACGACCAAAAATAAACAAATAAAACAAAAACAACTGGATTGTAGAAAAGAGTTGTCAACACATATAACAAGGGATAATAATTCTTGATGTACAAAAACTTCTACACATCAATAAGAAAAAGACAAACAACACAAAAGAAAAATGGGCAAAGTTTATGAACAGGCAATTCATAGAAGAGGAAATGAAAAAGGCTAGGAAGCATATGAAGACATGCTCAACCTTATAAGCAGTCAGAGAAATGCAAAGCAAATCAAGCCAATATTACTATTAGACCATCAAGTTGGTAAAAATCAAAAGACTGATAACATTCCAAGCTGGTGAGAGTATGGGTACTCCCATCACCTGTTCATGAATTGTAAATCACTATAACCTTTTGGGGAGTAAACTGCTAGTATTTATTAAAAATTTGAATGGACATACTCTTTGGCTCAACAATCATATTTAAGATTTTAATCTAAACAAAAGGAAAGTATTAGTATGTAGAGACGTGTATACAAGGATATTTGTTACAATATTGTAATAGCAGAAAACTGGAAACAACCTGAATGCTCATCAATAAGGAAATAATTGAAAGAATTATGGTATATCTACTATATATTGTGATATATTAGGTATAGTATATATACTACATACTATGAAATATTATGAAGAATTAAGTGGAATTTTATGTAGTGACTTGAAAGGATATCCATGGCTGATTAAAAAAGTAAATTTTTAAAAAGGAAAAATATACAAACTTACACACAAACACACATTGACATGTTTGTACAAACAAAAGAAAACTCATGTAAAGATAAACACCTGTTAACAGTGTTTATATTAAATGGACCAGAGTGGAGTGGGGGATGAGGCTATTAATTTTACCTTAGATTATTTTGTTCTGTTGAATTCAGGGAACATGTATAACATATAATTCAAGTAACTTAAAGAAAGAATGAAAAATAAGTATATCAAACAAAAATCGTAGTTTCTTACTGGCTTTAATAAAATTCCAAATTCCTTAGCCGAGTCTCTAAGGCTTATTATCATCTGTATCTAACTTACCAGGCTTACTGCCCACTACCCCTCCCTACTTCCCACAGGGACTTCCAGCCAATTGGCCCATTTTCCATGCCTAGAATTCACCTTTTGCTCTCTTGCCTCAGTGATTTCACTCGTTATTTCCATCACCCAGCATACATTCTCTCTTGTCTCAAAATATATCCATTCTTCAAGGTCCAGGCCCAGTCCCACCCCTGCTAGAGAATGTTTTCTGACTACCTCAGTCCAAACTTTTCTCTTACTCCTTGGACCTCTAAAAGGATTTGGATCCTTTCCATTCACCTGTCATTAATTACCAGTAAATCCGTACATGTATTATCTCTATATCTAGGCTATAAGGTTCTTGAGGGCAGGGACCAAGCAATTTTAGACTTTCTAAGTGATTTTCCCACAGGCATGCAAAAACATGTGTTACTTAATGATATAATAACAATGAACTTCTTAATAGCACCATCCTTTAAGACATGTAGACTGAATTCACCATTACAGATATTTCATGCACTTGTGACTTTACCCAGTGTTGGACCTACTCTGGTTATTTTCCTGTAGTTGGCATTTCCATCTGTAAAAAGATTACACGCTGAATGGCAAAGATAGTAATATTTAACCTCTATTTTCTTCTAATTTAGAGGATAGTATTAGATAATGTACCTGAAACTGATCACACTTCTCAGATAATAATTTTTGTTGAGCATCTAAAGAAACTAGATGTGTCTGATATAGTATCTCTTGCTTGTCCCATTCTCTTGACTTTGTTCTAAATTCCTTTAAAAAAAATGGAGGGACAAACATAAATTGAAGAAAATTATTCATTTTAAATGAACAGTGAACATGGCTTCTTTCATTTGTACATCTTTATTCTGAGAAAAAAAGTAAGTCTATTCTTTTCCCATTAGAAAAACAAAAGAAGCATCAACTCACTCATCTTGGATTTACTTACTACATATACTAGGAAAATATGGAATTTGTAACTTAATTCTTGTATTAAAAATTAAGCATTTTATTTGTTAGAAATGTAAGAAGTTTCTCTGATAACAAATGATGATTACTAATAAGGGAGTTTCAAACAACTTTTTGCATCAACCAGTAGTTCGTTTCTATTTCCTGAGCTGACACCAGAAGTTTTTTCCCTTCTTTCATTCTCTGCACTCAGTCACCAAACTTGTTCCCTTATTTTTTTAGGGGGTGGGGCTTGGATTATTTTGTGACTCTGTCCCCTGCGGCTTTCAAAGCTACCATCCAAGGTGAAGCCAAGATCAACTCATTCTTGAGAACAGAACAACCATCTCAGGCCTCATTTAGGCAATACCAACTGGGCTAACCTGGGGAAGAAGTGGTGGAACTAGCTTGATACAGCATGCTCAGTTCTTCAAGTTTTTGCTTACATAGTATACTCATAGAGCATGATTATCTGTTCACAACTTAACACGAGGAAAGGATATGGCTTTGGGAATGACAAAGAAAACTTCACTGCTTCTCAATTTTGCCTAGGGCTGGCCCCTGTATCTTATCTTTCTGTCCAGACTGTAAGCAACTTAAGGGTTTCATTACTTTTGTATTGCTCACAGTGCCTGACAAAGTGCCAGGCACCACTTATATTCCACGAATGTACAAACAAAAACATGGTATTAATATTTCCTAGAATTTAAACATTTCTCACTAAATTTTGCAAAGAAAACAACATGGTTGGAAACAAACTCTGTAGTTACTAAGTCCATGACTATATATTGTTGCATATAGATACATGGCATGAAAGTATTGATTTCCAGTCATCAATTCAGTAATATTTATTAAGCACCTAGTGTCCACCAGGTATGATGGAGAGAAGAGAAGAGAATTTGGAAATATTTCATGATTAAAAGAAACAAATTTTTGAAAAAAAATCAGGGAATATATAATAAAGTAGGGAAATGTACATGTAAACAAATAATTTTACGGTATAAGTATAATAATAACACTATAGTATTATTATATATACAATTATTATATATTAATTATTATATTATATATAATATATTGTATTATATATATAACACTATAGTGTTGTTATTGTATTATATATAATAGATATTATATAAGTATGATATTATATGTAATAACACTATAGTGTTATTACTGTACTTTATTGTACTATATTGTGACAGAGGATGTCTCCATCATCCCAGCCATCTCCAATAATATGTCAAATTGGAACATAGTTCATTTGGCCAGAGTGATTGGTGTTGTTTTCAAGATGGCTGAAAGGACTGGATTGGCTATGCTGGAAAATAAATATGCTAATTTAGAGAATTAAAACTACATCTTGCTTAAAATGAGAAGAACATGGCATTTCATATTTTTTATAGAGATGATTTTAAAGAATATTTGGGGAAATTTTCATTTTATAAATCCACAAATCCCAAAACAATTAGTGAAGGGAGGCTACAAATTAGGAGGCTTTTATAGTAATTAAAGGTGACCTGAAATTGAGTGGTGGTAATAAAGTTGGAGGAATATGGATAGACTCCCTTTTAAATATATAATAATACCTTATGAGCAATGGACTGTATTTATTAAGATAAATGGAGACAGTTCATTTAAAGCTATTGACTTTGATTCTGACATTCGACAATTTTAAGTTAAGTAGATGAAAACAGTCTTTAGCAATAGTGACAAATTTACAAACCTAGTAGTGGAAAATAGGTAACAATTCAAATCAATACAAGGTAGGTAAAAAAAATTGCTGTTTACTTTCAATTTAGAAAGGAGTCTTCGGAGTCAGAAGTTAAAATGTGGGCAAGGTTGACTTACACAGTTCATGTCTTTCAGATAATATTAATTTTTAGCATCACCCACCCAATAACCTCAATCTTGAAAATAAATATTTCCCAGAATTCTTTAGAAGCATGCAGAAGCATTAACCTCAATTCCTCATAAAGGAAGGAAACAGGTAGAAATGAGGCCAAGAATGAGGCCAAGCAAGGCTAGAAATGTGTGTCACAGACATATCAGCAGGTGCTTATAATAGTTCTGACTTCCTTGGTCTTACAGATATATTGGTTTCAAGATTAGTGAGCAAGCACAATATATCCAGCAGTTATGGGGCCATGCAGAGACCTAGAGAGCTTTATAAGGATTTTTGCAGAGACTGGAGGTGTCAGCCCAGGTTCCAGAAGGACTGTAGACTTGCCTGAATCTCCAGAGTAAGTTCTCCATGGCTGGAAAACCTTTTCTGGGTCTTTAAGGTTGACACTGTGTCAGGGTCATTGAAATTAGTGGAAACTACATTATTTTATATATATATATATATATATATATATATATATATATATATATATATGTATGTATGTATTTTAAATCCCTCTACTAAATATTGAGAGACGGAATGAACATTTCTTTACTGATTACTGCATGTATGTCAGGGACTCTATAAACCTCCACTTGTAAGATAGTTTTAACTTTTTATTATGAAAATCTTCATGCTTACATAAAAGTGGAGAGTAAAACAAACTCCCATGTACCCTTCACCCAGTTTAACTACCATCGACTTAGTCCATCTTTATTTCGCTTAACCTCCATCCTTTTTTGTTGGACTATTTTAAGGCAACTTCCAGACCTCATATATTTTCACCCCTAAAGCTTCAGTGTCTATCTAAATACACACACACATACACACATTTTTTTTCTTCCATAACCACAATGTCACTGATAAGATATTTTTATCTCCATTTATTGGTGAAAAAAATGGAATCTCTGTGAGGCTAACAGCTTGTCCGAAGGTCACAGGGCAAATAAATGAGCCAGTCAGGACGTGCTTTAAGTTATAAACTGTCACGCTTTTCCACTATAGCATGCTGCTTTCCACTGCTCTATTACTATAGCAGGGTATAAATGTTTGTCCCAAAGGAAAAACAAAAACATGCTTATATGTAGACTAAAACTAGAACAGTCCATCTCCTACATATTAATTTTTCAGATGGCTCTAAGTAAAAGCAGGTACATGAAGTGTTTCCATAATTATACAGATTAAACTGTGTCTACATAATGTGCTTAAAATTTTTGTATAAGTACAAACATATCAAGTCATATTTTGCTACTAATTTCCACTATAATTTCATGAGATATATTTTATGTAAATATTTAGTTCCCTAAATGTAAAATGCACACACACACAGCACTCAATATGAATTTAAGGCTTTTTCTTTGAACAATTTATATGAATGTGGTTCTTTCACTAAACCACATGTGATGTTAATCAAATGGATAAATCAGTGACTTGATCTCTGCATTTTCAGTGAAAGCACATGTATAGTACAGTGCACATCTCTGGGCATCTTCTGTAAGACTAGAATATTTCTAAAGCCAGTCTAATTACACCACTGCAAGAGCCAGGGGGTTATGCATAGTGCATTTTCCTAGACAGTCAACTTTATTTAGTGGTAGTAATTTTGTATTTAAAAAAATGTACATTCATTATTCAGCAGAATATAAAATTTGCAGGAATTCATTTTTTTATTTTTATTTTTTTTGTGAGGAAGATCAGCCCTGAGCTAACATTCATGCCCATCTTCCTCTATTTTGTATACAGGATACTGCCACAGCATGGCTTGATGAGCGGTGCATAGGACCGCACCCGGTATCCGAACCTGAGAACCCCGGGCTGCCGGGCCGCTGAAGTGGAGTGCGTGAACTTAATCACTACGCCACCAGGCTGGCCCCTAAAATTTGAAGGAATTTAAAAACTAAAACCCAAGACTTCCAACAATTTTTTTTTTTCTGTTCTTAAAAATATTTTGGAGCAAAAGTTTGAGAAGGACTGTTAGTTGAAGAGTAAGATGATAAAGTATGAAACAGGGCAATGACAATTAGAAAGGGGGAAGAAGAAGATAGGACACATTAGACAAGGGAAAGGGGCAAATTGGGCTGAAATGACTAAGAGAGAGGAACAGATCAAAGATTCTTAGGAGGTTTCTACCTGGGTGATTGGAGGTACAGAACCATTACCTATCAACAATGTAGAAGAAACTGAAATTATTGGCTGGGGGTGGGGGAAAGCTGAGGTTTAGTGCGTGAACAATGAAAGAAATTGAGTGGGATAACATAATAACGGTCAACTTGACGTCAATTAAAAAACAATAATTGAACAGCACTGGGAATTCAGCTAAGGTTAGCGACTAGCAATTTATTGTAGAATCTAGCTATGATTTCATTACCTGTAGCAGAAATGTTCAAGAGCTATGGAAGCAAAATACCTGGTTTGTTTTTTCCAAGCTTGGAATGTTAAGCGGATAACAGCAAATGCATCCGTGACACAGTAAACTATTCTAGGGAATTGAGATTTTAGAAGTTCTGGGTGCTACGGGGTAGCAATACTGGAATGGCACTATCTCTTTAAAGAAAAAACCCTGAGACTTTAAGCCCTGTCCTGAAAACTGTTATGAGGCTTCACTGGGATTTAAGCACCTAACAGTTAAACAGCCATTAAAAGATTTATTAGATATTTGCTTTAAGTGATCCCAGGGATGTCCTTCAATTTCATTCAACATCTGCAGTTTCTTTGAACTTTTTTTTTGGCTCTCCAAAAATGCTGATATGTATAAAAGATGTATAAATCAGTGATGTTTTAATTCACTAAGTGCTTGAAGGGAAGGTGCACCAAGAAAATATGTTCAATGAGAAGTTGATTTGTAATGGTGTTTGTTACCACAGTTGAACGTGCCATTGTCTACACTAGAGACAAAGAGCCCGCAGCCACAACAATCAATCTTTAACACACAGGAAGAAACTCAGAAAACATAGCTCACCTCTAATTTCTGGTGCAAATTGCTCATTTCAAAGGGTATTTCTTCTTTGAGGTGAGGTAATTCTTTTCGTCGAAACTTATTTTGTTTCATTTGGTGTAATCTCAGTTTTTCAAAGCTATTAGTTAGTTTGGAAAACTGTAAAAAAAAAAATAGAGAATGCTAACACTTTACTATTACTGGTTATTTCTAACTTGATTTCACTATAGTTTTTGTCTTGTGTACTTCTGAAAATTTAAATTGCGATTAGAAAATGCAGTAAAGCTTAAATGTTCCAATTAGTGAAGATAGAACCAGTTATTAAAACTAAATTATTGAAGCTGAACTCAATTCAGCTTTCATGTAAATTTGGGACTTCATTAGCTGCACAGTTAAACAATGATTCACTTGAAAAATGTTTTGTTCAGTTTTGTTTTAACCATATGTAGCAAAGCTCACAATTTCAAAAAAAGCCAAGTTTTTTCTCACTTTTATTTAGTGCCATCTTGTGTTGACAATTTTAATTTCAGTAACTCAGTCTATAAAATAACTAGCTTATACTTTATTCAAGAAAACTGCAGGCCGGCCCGGCGGCATAGTGGTTAAGTTTGCGCGTTCTGCTTTGGTGGCCCAGGATTTGCCGGTTCAGATCCTGGGCACAGACCTACTCACCACTGGTCAAGCCATGCTGAGGTGGTGTCCCACACAGAAAAACTAGAAAGATCTACAACTAGGATATACAACTATGTACTGGGGCTTTGAGGAGAAAAAAGAAAAAAAGGAAGATTGGCAACAGATATTAGCTCAGGGCCAATCTTCCGCAAAAAAAAAAAAAAAAGAATCTCGGTGCAGAAGTGAGGATGCTGACAGCTTTAAAAAAAAAAAGAAAACTGAGTACTTAATTTAAAAGATATGAACAACATAAACTACTTATTCATGTTGATATGTTTAAATAAATTTAAATATCAAAATTGATGTAATCTTTTTCTTACCAATAATTCTTTTTATAACTTAGACTCTATTATTTTCTCTGTTTTTTATTCTACTTTCAAATAATAGATTAAAAGCAACATGGTCTATCAACATTGTGAGGAAATTTCTATATAACTATTTACAAAAGTTTTTGTTTTGATTTTTTATTTTGAAATAATTATAGATTCACAAGAAGTTACAGAGAGATCACAAGAAGTTACAGAGAGATTCTGGGTCATCTTCACCCAGTTTCCCCCAATTTTTACATCTTATTGAACTATGGGGCAACACCAAACCCAGGAAATTGACATCGGTACAATATATGTGCATAGTTCTATGCCATCTTATCACAGGTGTAGATTTGTGTGACCACAACCACGATCAAGATACAGAACCATCCCATCAGCACAGATCTCCTGGTGCCTTTGTAGTGACACTCATCGCCCTCATCCCCCCACCACTAAGTCCTGGCAACCACTAATTTGTTTTTTCATCTCTATAATTTTGTCATTTCAAGAATGTTATAAAATGGAATCAAACAGCATATGACCTTTTGAGGTTGGCTTTTTTCACTCAGCGTAATGCCCTTGAGATGTATGTGTGTATCAACAGTTTGTTCCTTTTTATTGCCCAGTATTATCCCATGATGTGGATGTACCACAGTTTGACCATTCACATATGGGATCATTTTGGTTGTTTCCAGTTTTGGGCTATTTCAAATAAAGCTATGAACAATTGTGTCTACTCTATCTGATATTAGTGTAGTCACTTCTGTTTTCTTTTTCTTTCTGATGTAATTTTTAAAATGGAGGTATAATTCACCCTTTAAAGTATCAATTCATTGGTTTTTGTATATTCACTAAGTTGTGCAACCATCACACTATCTAATTTCATAATATTTTCATCACCTTGAAAAGAAACCTCATACCTATCAGCAGTCACTACATACTTCCTCCTTCCTCCAGCCCCTGGCAACCACCAATCTACTGTCTGTCTCTACAAATTTGACTACTCTGATCATTTCATATTAAAGGTATCATACAATATGTGGTCTTTTGTGTCTGGCTTCTTTCACTTGGCATAATGCTTTCAAGGTTCATCAATGCTGTAGCATGAATCAATACTTCATCCCTTTTTATGGTCAAATAATATTCCATTGCATGGCTGTACCACCCTTGTTTATCCATTTGTTAGTTGATGGACATTTGGGTTGTTTCCATTTTTTGGATATTATGAATAATGCTGCTATTAACATTTGTGTGCAAGTGTTTGTGTGGATATATGTTTTATTTCTCTTGAGTATATACCTAGGAGTGGAATTGTTGGGTCATATGGAAACTTCATAGTATATAACTCCAAAGTTAAAATGTTTAACTTTTTAAGGAACTGTGAAAGTGTTTTCCAAAATGGCTGTACCATTTTCCTTTCCCAATGGCAATGTATACGGTTCCAATTTCTCCATATCCTCACTGACAACTTGCTACTGTACATCTTTTTTACAGCCATCCTAGTGGGTGTGAAGGGGTATCTCATTATGGTTTTGATTTGCATTTTCCTAATGACTAAGGATGTTGAGCATTTTTTTATATGCTTATTGGTGATTTGTATATCTTGTGTGGAGAAATGTCTATTTAGATCTTTGCCCATTTTAAAATTTGGTCATTTGTCTTTTTATTGTTGACTAGTAAGAGTTATTTTTTTATTCTGGATACTAGTCCTTTATTAGATATACAATTTGCAAATATTTTCTCCCCTTTTTTGGGTTGTCTTTTTATTTTCTTGATGATATCCTTTGAAGCACAAAGGTCTTTTAATTTTGATAAAGTTAAATTTATCTAATTTTTCTTGTGCTTTTGGTGCCAAAACTAAGAAACCATTGCTTAATCCAAGGTCACAAAGATATACTCCTATGTTTTCTTCTAAGTGTTTTACAGACTTAATTTTTAGCTCTTTGATTCATTTTGAGTTAATTTTTGTCTATGGTTTAGGTAAGGGTCCAACTTAATATTTTTACATGTGAATATTCAGTTATCCCTTCACTGTTGAAAAGACTATTCTTTCTCCATTGAATTATCTTGGGATCACTTTGGATTAACATTTGCATGGTATATTTTTTCCATCTTTTTACTTTCAACTTACCTATACAGTTATATGTGAAGGGAGTTTCTGGAACAGAGCAACAGAGTTGGGTCATATTTTTTTATTTACTCTGTCAGTCTCCATCTTTTAATTGGTGTGTTTAGACCATTTCCATTTAATGTAATTATTGATATGTTAGGGCTTAAGCCTGACTTCTTTTGTTTTCTGTTTGTTCTCTAGTTTTTGGTTTCTCTGTTTTAGCTTTCCTGTCTTCCACAAGGTTACTTGAACATTTTTTAGAATTCCATTTTGATTTATCTATAGTGTGTTTGAATATATCTCTTTGTATAGCTTTTTTAGTTGTTGCTCTAGATATTATATTATATACACATAAGTTATTACAGTCTACTGGTGTCAGCATTTTACCAGTTAAAGTGACGTGTAGAAATCTTACTTCTCTTTATGTCCCTTTACCTTTCCCATTTATAACATTATTGTCAAGTATTTCCTCAACATACATTAAGAACCACATTAGACATTGTTATAATTTTTGTTTCAGCTGTCAAACTATTTAGAAAACTCAAGAGAAGGAAAGTCTATTGCATTCATCCATGTTTTGACTCTTTCCAGTGTTTTTTCTTTCTTCCTGATGTCTCAAGACTCTTTCTTTACCATTTACTTTCTGCTAAGAGAACTTCCTCCAGTCATTCTTTTAGGGTAGCTCTATTGGTGACAAATTCTCTTAGTTTTCCTTCATTTGAGAATGTCTTGATTTCCTCTTTATTCCTAAGGATATATCTCTGGACATAGAATTTTGCGTTGACATTTCTGTTCTTTCAGCAGTTGAAAAATGTTCCACTTCCTTCTGGCTTCATGGTTTCTGATGAGAAGTCCATTGTCTGAATTGATTTTTCCCCATAGGGAAGGTGTTACTTCTCTCTTGCTGTTTCCAAGATTTTTTCTCTGTCTTTTACTTTTCAGAATTTTGATTATGATGTGCCCTGGTGTACATTTCTTTGGGTTTACCACGTTTGAGTTTCACTCAGCTTCTTGAATCTGTAGGTTTACATCTTTTGCCAAGTTTTGGAACTTTTTAGCCATTAATTATTTGAATACTTTTTCAGTCCCACCCTCTTTCTTCTCTCTTTCTGATACTCTTCGACACAAATTTTCAATCTTTTGTTATAGTACTACATGTCCCTGAGGTTCATTTTCTTTTAGTCTATTTTCTCTCTGTTATTCAGATTGGGTAATTTCTATTTTGCTATCTTCAAATTCACTGATTGTTTCCTCTATCCTCTCTTTTCTGCTTTTGAGCCCATCCATTAATTGTTTTTAGTTTGGTTACTGTATTTTTCAGTTATAAAATTTTGAATTGGTTGTTCTTTATAGTTTTGTTTCTGTGCTAAAACTTTCTAATTTTTCATTTGTTTCAAATATGTCTGTAATTGCTCACTGAAGCATTTTTATAACGGCTGCTTTAAAATCCTTGTCAGATAATTCTAACATCTGTATCAACTCAGTGTTGGCATCTCTTGATTGTCTTTTCTCATTCAACTTGAAATCTTCCTGGTTCTTGGTATGATAAGTAATTTTTTATTGAAACCTGGACCTTTCTGGGTATTGTGTTATGAGACTCTGGATTTTATTTAAATATTGTGTTTTAGCAGTCCTCTTCTGACAACATTCCAGCAGGGAAAATACAATGCTGCCTCATTAGTGCCAGGTGGCAGTGGAAGTCCAAGTCTTAACTTGGCCTCAGAGGGTAATCCGGGGGAGGTGTGCTTTATTACTGTTGAGTGGGAGTGAGAGTTCAGGCTCCCCATTAATCTTTCACTGACACCACCTTGATTGGAGGGACATAGGTGCCTTGTTACTGCTTCCCACATGGTCTTCACTGATACTGTACTGAGGGTGAGTGGCCTGGTTACCACTGAGGGGTGGTGAACATATTGACTCCTCGTTAGGCTTCCCCTGATACCATTCCAGAGAAAAGGGAGCAGGGTGCTTATCACCACCAGATGGTCACACAAGTCCAGGCTCTCCACATGGTCTCCACTGACATCACGGGTTGAGGGAGGTCTGATTAACACCCAGTGGCTATGAAAGTCCTGGCTCTCCACTCAGCCTTCTCTGACACCACGCAGGTGGGTGGCCTGGGCTCCCTCCTTATAGCCTGGTGGGAGTGGAACCCTAGGCCGCCCACCCAGTCTTTGCTGGTGGGGTGGGTGTGAGCTGTAGTTTTTTTTTTTTTTCCTGTGGTGTTTGGTGGGAGCAGAGCAGTTATTGTCTAAAAGTGTTTAATCTTGCTAGGCTATCTTTTTCCTGGTCTTCTGGCTGCAGAGAGCAGGCTTTCCTTGGGAGTCTTTTTGTTTGTTTGTTTGTGTCCATTGGAGTGTCTGAGTTGCAGGCTTCTCTGTTACCCAGTCTGGGTATAAGAGGTAAAAAAACATCCCAGGGAACTCACCACTGTGTCGTTCCTCGGGTCCCAAGGTCCTTGTTGGTCTGACTCTTCTCTCCACTTCTCAGAGTCTTCTTATGTTGTTTTATAAATAATGTCCAGGGCTTCTAGTAGCGTTTAGCAGGAGGAATAGGGACAACTATGTCTACTCCATCTTTCCAGAAGCAGGAACCTCAAATACATATATAATTTAATTATAGTTTTATAATGGTTGGAAGGAGAAGAAAATACCTCGTTTTAAAAAAGGAAGCAATTTCTACAAGAACGCTTTGACAGAGTCAAGTTACTCAATGCAGAGTGTGGTCAAGCATATCCTTAAGATATTTTAGGAAAATGAAATTGTAAATAAACCAGGAATTTCAAAGAAGGAAGCAGCGTGAGCAAACAGCAACAAAAGCATGTTGCCACAAGACACCATTTTCTGGTTAGAAAAATGACATATTACCAGCTATTATGCAAACCAAGTCAAGTACATAGTACTTTTCTTTTTCTGTCTTTCTCCCTCCTCCCCTCTTTCCTACTCTTATGCTCTCTCTCCCTAACTCTCTTCCTTCATTTCTTTTAACCAGAGAAGAAAAGAGAAGAAGAAAACTGCAGTGGGAGGAGTTGGCTGTTCTCTCAACAATAATGTAGTGTTTCCAAAGTGTATTCTCTGAAACACCTGTTCACAGAGTTCACGCTGCAACACCATACTCCAATATTAGTAGATTTTAGGTTTAAAAGATAAAAGGGTTTCATGGTCAAATATGTTTGGAAAATGATGGATTAAAAAGGCTAAACAGATTTGTTTAAAGCAGGACTTCTCACAGCCTCTAATATGCTAATGTGTGCTATGACTATCCAGGAGCAGAGAAGGAGTAAACAGCATTTCCTCCACTCTTGGCATTACTGTTCCACAGAACAAATTTTTGTGAAGTTGCCATAAAGATATTTGCTGGTTAGCCAGCAGCCAAGTAATAAGATAGAGCTGAAAAGCATCAAATGGCAAGAAGTCATATATTAAATGCTGCTCAGCACCTGTAAACAAGGCCCCAAACCTTTTTTTTTTTTTTTTTTTGGTGAGGAAGACTGGCCCTGAGCTAACATCCATTGCCAATCCTCCTCTTTTTGCTGAGGAAGCTTGGCCCTGGGCTAACATCTGTGCCCATCTTCCTCTACTTTATAGGTGGGATGCCTGCCACAGCATGGCTTGATAAACAGTGCATAGGTCTGTGCCCTAGATCCGAACCTGCGAGCCCCGGGCCGCTGAAGCAGAGCATGTAAACTTAAATACCACGCTGCTGGGCCGGCCACAAGGCCCCAAACTTTTTAACAACAGACATGAAAAAAAATACCCAGAAATTAAGGATTTGGTAAGCAGTGATTGAACTAAGTAAATAAAATTTAGAGATGGTATTTAACTTCTATCTAGATTTCTGTATTTTTTCAAACTTATTCCAGAACATGGTCTTTTTGTTTATAGTGCACAACTATAGTGATTTAATATTTATGTTGTTATTTTAGAGCTTTATCTTTATAGAAAAGCAAGACTGATTGACTTAAGTGTTAAATGCTTGGAGTCAGCTAGAAAAAACCATATGAAGTTTCATAAGTCAAGCTACCACCTAGTGGCAGCTGCTTAAATTGCTGGCAAAATGTCTAGGTCGATTTAAGAGCTAGTCTTGTAAGATCATACCTATCAAGCGGCATCAAATATTCCAATCTTAATGGCTGAATCCCTAAAGAGGTACTTAAGGAGGAGCATTAACTACTTTGGGCTCCTTTATATTATCATTTATGAAAGTCTTGCACCCCAAAAAAGTTGGTTGTAAAGTAAAATTTCATAATCAAACCATATTTCCCACTGATTCATTTACTAAGTTAAGCAAGCATATAGCATCTACTAGACCTGAGACGCTCAGATGATTATTGCCCTATGTGCTATCTGTGGTAAGAGGGAGAAGACTTTTTATCGCCAGCACAGTGGGGAGATGTAAGGATAAATAAGAAAGAAATCAGTATCCCTCTCATCACATACGCGGAAGCACTGTCATTTACGAAACAGTCCTACCAGCAACAAGGTAGTAAAGACTAGTGTTGTTCTTTCAATGATCTATTACATAATAACAAACTTCCATGTTTTAAATTGCCACAGAATAAAGGACTAATAATGACTATGAAAGGTAATTTTGCTTTTTGCCGTTGTTCACATAGCAGATTATTATCATACAATTAATCAACAAGTCTCCTGATAAATAGACAGCTATTAGTCTAGTACTGTGCTAACAGTTAAAGGGATAGGAAGTTGACAATCCAGTAAAAGAGACAAAATCGATACATATAAAATAATAAAAGGTAGGGCCAAACATATAATCTTGTAGATAAAATACAAGAACTTTTGCTTGTATTAAAAACAATTCATTTGAATAAAACTAACACAATTTTATAGGTCAAACCATATACCAAAATGTGTGATATTAAATTGTAAAAAGTTTCCTTACTTGAGCTTTTAGGGTTTGTAGTTGTCCTTCGTAATTCTGAGTCATTGCTAAGTTACATTTTTCCAGACTGTCCAACTTCTGTCTAAGTAACCCCACCTGCATTAAGAATAAAATTTAATTTTGCTTTTTCTATATTTTGCCTGACAATATCCGAAAATGTGCAAAAGAGGAGTACAATGCAAATAAAACTGCTGTACCAAACCCAAGAATAAATATTTGTACTGCAGTTCTTAAAATAGCTATTAATAATTAAATTCACATAAACCAAACATTGCTAGCACGATTCCACTGGGTACACATGAGACACTACGGTATGGATGTTTGACAAAAGATCCTTATCACCATCACATTTTGAATTAAGGTTTAGAATTCACTTTGCATTATCTTTTTGGGAGGCTTATGTCATCACTGCTCAGGCAGAACCTCTACCGGCACACTTCAGCTTTCTTTCAGGCTCCACTGCCTTCAGCGGGAGCTCTGCTTTAGTGGAATTATGGAATAACGTAACATTTAGGTAGTTAGTTCTTAAGAACTAACACGTTAAAAAGAAAAACGTCTAAGAGCAGTTCTTAAGGATTTGGCTTACAGAATTTGTCTGCTTAAAAAGCAGGTGAGGGGGCTGGCCCAATAGCATAGTGGTTAAGTTGGCACGCTCTGCTTCCGCGGCCCGGGGTTCGCACCTTTGGATCCTGGGCATAGACCTACGCACCACTTACCAAGCCATGCTGTGGCAGGCGTCCCACATACAAAGTAGAGGAAGATGGGCACAGATGTTAGCCCAGGGCCAATCCTCCTCAGCAAAAAGAGGAGAATTGGCAACAGATGTTAGCTCAGGGCTAATCTTCCTCACCAAAAAAAAAAAAAAAAAAACAACAAAAGCAGACGAGGCACCTGTTCACATATCTGTGTCATTAAAAGAATAGAAGTGAGAAAATAGTCTCTTACATATGCCAGGTCTGAAGTCCTGCCTCTATTGTGAAGGGAAACCAGAGGCCAAAAACTAAGTTAACTGTGCCAAACTATAACATAGTTAACCCTGCCAAAAACTAAGTTCCGTTGAGAGGCCAATAAAGGTAGAAAAATTGTGGCTGAACAAGTTGACTGATGATGTTTTAGTATATGATGAGTAGACATTTCTCTTATGCCTCACCCCAAAGAAAAATTCACAGGCACGAAAGTCCACATTAGATAAAGCATACGGTTTTCCTGAACTCCTCTCCAGGCCTGAGAGCACTCAGACATGCTTTTACAATCACCAGCTTGGTGGTAAGCAGCCTCGCAGGGGCCAAGGGCACTCCTCTTAAGTGGGTGCCCACGAGACACACACACCCCCTTCGCCAAAGTCTTTTCTCTCTCGTCCTACAATCAAATCTTGACATTTCACTTCTTTCAGGAAATATTTTTCTAGCAGATTAGAAGAGGCAAATGCTCCTGAATTCCGCCTCGTGCAAAGACACAGCTTTGATGACTACTGCTTTGTTTCTACAGCAGCAAAAGCACTGACATCTTTGCTTGCAAACATTTATTTCACACATATAGTGAATGTTTGTTTACTTTTCTAGATGGTATTGACACTATATGTCTGCATCAGAAAATTTCTATGGGTTTAGGCTCTGCTTGTCACTTATCTTATAGAACACATTTAGCACACTATGACAAAATTTCAAGCAATAAATTCTATTGCTGATGCCTGATAAAAAGTATGTGTAATGAAAAACATATTCTGATAGAATAAATTCTGTTTATAACAGTCTGAGGAATTAACAATTTATTAACACATATTTCAGTACCTCTTGACCTTTCTGATCCAAACAAGTTTGTGCATTTGCCAATTCTTGATCCCGAAGATCTAATCGTGTCTCCAAAGCCCGCATCTTCCTTTCCCAATCCAATTTTTTGTTGCTTACCATGATGTCAATTTGTTCCATTAATTCCTGAAGCTCAGCCTCGCAAGGAGAAGCTCTGGCAATTATAGAAAATTAAAATACATTTAAAAAGAGTGAAATGTGAGGAGAAGAAAAATTATTACATTGCCCTGAATAGCTTTATCATTATTTCCCTAAATTGTCCAATTATTTAAATAGGAAGAAGTCCAAAAGCTAGAGGTTAAATTTAAAATTAAAACTAAAAGCTAATTTCAGAGTTAACAGTGTACAGTCATGCACTGCATAACAATGTTTTGGTCAACAACAAACCACATATATGACGGTGGTCCCATAAGATTAGTACCATATAGCCTAGGTGTGTAGCAGGCTCTACCATCTAGGATTGTGTAAGAACACTCTATGATATTCGCACAATGACAAAATCACCTAAGGGTACATTTCTCGGAATGTATCCCTGGTTTTTTTTGTTGCTGAGGAAGATTCACCCTAAGCTAACATCTATGTCAATCTTCCTCTATTTCGTACGTGGGTCGCTGCCACTATATGGCTGCTGATGAGTGGTGTAGGTCCGCACCCAGGAACCGAACCTGGGTCGCCAAAGTGGAGCATGCCAAACTTAGCTGCTATGCCGTGGGGCCAGTCCCACAGAACGTATCCCTGTTAAGTGACACACGACTGTATATACATTTAATTTTTTTTTTTTTCTTGTGAGGAGATCAGCTCTGTGCTAACATCTGCCAATCCTCCTCCTTTTTTGTTGAGGAAGACTGGCCCTGGGCTAACATCTGTGCCCATCTTCCTCTACTTTATATGGGATGCCACCACAGCATGGCTTGCCAAGCAGTGCGTCGGTGCGCTCCGGGGATCCAAACCGGTGAACCCTGGGCCGCCGCAGCGGAGCGCATGCACTTCACCGCTTGCGCCACTGGGCCGGCCCGTACATTTAATTTTCTAAATGACATTTTTTAAAGTATAGTTCTGTCATAATATAATGCAATAGATTGATAAAGTCACTGCCTGCATTTCTCTTCTTAGTGCAGATGGTAGCATATGGGTCTCCCTGACCCAAAAGTTTTGACTTAGACAAGGGAGTACTAAAATGAAAACACATTGTGCTGATTATGTCAGAAATAAGGTCGCAATAAAGATAGTTAAAAAAATAAATAAATAAAATAACCGTTTTTTAGAGTGAGCTAATTCTAAGGAAAATTATAATTATGAAAACTGGTTCAATGCTCTTACATATAAATATACATGTACCTATGTCTAGCATACCTTGAGGAGGTTTGATGGCAGGCAAACTAGGATGTCAAGTGTGCCTGTCGGGTATAGAAGAGCAAGCCTGGGCTAGGTAGGACCATATTCTGGGGTACCACATGGGCTACAGTGCTGCTCCCCCGGGAGGGGAACTTGGTGTGATCTGGCTGGTGTCTGGAAGTAATCTGATCAGGCAGGTATGGGCAGAGTAATGTAAGTCTTTAAACATTGGGGATACTATTAGTCAGATAGGTGGCAATATCTTGGGTCTAGGAAGGTCTACTGTGTTTGAATCAAGGCGCTTGGTAATAGCTACAACTATAGAGACTGAGAGTTGGTCAGAAGACAGATTGCTGGGTGATCTGATCCCAGGGCAGGTTCTCTTTCAAAGAAGCTGCAGTGCTCCCCAAGGGCCTGGTGTAAGTCCAGTCATTCAGACTGGATACGTGGGCAGATGCTGAAGCTTCAGACTTCAGCCTAAGGAACACACAAATGTCCAGATTCGAGAAGCAATTTATTTCAGTACCCATTCAACGGTGGTGATAGGGCTGCTAATACATTTGTGTAGCTGGAAGGGAGGCAGGTGCAAAATAACAACATTTCCTCCATTTAGTTTCACCAAATCAGAATTTTAGGGTTAATTAAGGATCATTTAGCATTTTGAAAAATGCTAAGGCACAGAGAGGTCAAGGTCACGTATTAATTAGTGGAGGAGCCAGAACTGGAGCACAGGTAGCTGCTTCCCATCTTAAGCTCCTTCCTGTATACCGCACAGCAAAAGACACGGTGTTTCGAATAGATCTTGCTTGAAAAATATAGTACAAATTAGCTCCCTTACAACAAGGTTAGAAACAAGTATTAGAACTCAAAGAATTCAGAATTTCCAGAGTCACTTTCTAAAACACCCTGAGTCAACCTGAACAAAGGGCGTCCATTTGATTGGTTTATCCAACGGCAGCTTCTCCAGTTCTGACATCAGAGAGGTTTTAAATACAAAGTAGCATTCTGAAGTCTTCTAGCATTGCTGGGCTAAGGCCCCAAGGCTCTCAATTTTTACTTAAAACCTAAAACAAATCTGAGGAAAGGAAGTACTAATTCCTCTATAAATAACTCGATTGGATTTTAATTGGCGTTACGATGTGGGGAAAAAGATAACAAAAAGAATGGTTTTCACACCATTTTCTTTTTCATAACAACATGTATCACCCTTTACTGCAAATATATTTGTCTATCTTTTTCTGCTAGTGTAAGGTCTGGGGGAAAAAAAGGACTATATCAGTCTTGTTCATTATCATCTCACCAGAGCTCAGCACAGTGCCCCAGCACATAGCAGATGCTCAACAAATTTTTGAAGAATGAAGAAATGAGTTCTTTTCATCGCTATCTCCTTGGCATGTAGGAATTCATCATGCTAATGGAATTAAAACAGAGGCCAAAATAGAGTGTGGCATAATGTAAGCTATTCAATCAATACTGTTAAATAAATGAATGCATGGTTTATTTCCTGGTTATTATTATGCTATGCAAAAGTTAGAATATTAGACTCTTGGATTGGAAGGACTTTTATGAGTCATCTAGTCCAACTACCCATCCAACGTTTGCATATCTTCCACAAATGCTTCTTAAGAGAATCATCTATCATACCCCACTGATCAGATTCAGCAAGTCTAGGACAGAGCCCAAGATTCTGCATCAGTAACAAAGGTGCCAAGTGATTCTGGTGCATGCCAAAGTTTGTGATCTGCATTGCAGTACCACTGTCCAGCAGTCATCCAGCCTACGTCTGAATTCTTCCTTTAGCAGGTAACCACTGTCTGAAATGGTATCTAGACAGCAATGAGTTTTTTGTGTGTGTGAGGAAGATCAGCCCTGAGCTAACATCCAGTGCCAATCCTCTTATTTTTGCTGAGGGAGATTGGCCCTGGGCTAACATCCATGTCCATCTTCCTCTACTTTATATGGGACGCCGGCACAGCATGGCTTGACAAGCGGTGCGTTGGTGCACACCTGGGATCCGAACCTGCGAACCCCGGGCCGCTGAAGCGGAGCACGCACACTTAACCACTGTGCCAGTGGGCCAGCCCCGATAGCAATGAGTTTTTAAAAGTTCTTTCTCATATTGAAGAACTTTTTCATCCCCCGGTCCTAATTTGATCCATTGGGACCATTCAGAACAAATGCCTTTTCAACACAGTAGACCTTAAAGTACTTGAATGCAGTTATCAATATGCTGAATACAGTTATCAGTGTACCTCCAGATTCTTCTGAGTCTTCTCTTCTCAATGTTCAATATTAGAGACTGAACATACAAACAGACAATGGCCAAACATATGATAATAGACTCTGACTCACAACCTCTGCAGCAATAGCTCTAGAATGGTTAGGACTTGGTCAATGACTGACGGTCTCCCAAATTTCTGCCTCCACCTCCAACTCAGGACCAACTGGAGAAAGCCAAATTTGCTCCCCAAACCAACAACATAGGATGCCCTGCTTCTAGTTAGCCTGCCTCAGCTTCCCCATGCCAACAGCCTCCAATCAGGGCATAGCTGAAGCCTTCTCTTTTTTATTGGTAAGGAAGATTAGCCCTGAGCTAATGTCTGTTGCCAATCCTCCTCTTTTTGCTGACGAAGATTGACCCTTGGCTAATATCCATGCCCATCTTCCTCTACTTTATATGTGGGACGCCTGTCACAGCATGGCATGACAAGTGGTACGATGGTCCACACCTGGGATCTGAACCTGCAAACCCTGGGCTGCCAAAGTGGAGTACATGAACTTAACCACTATGCCACCGGGCCAGCACCTGAAGACTTCTCTTTTGCTCGTTGTAAAGCTTTCCCACTCCCCTGTCTGACTTTGAGTCTGCCAAATGCAGGTGATGGTTGCTGACTCCCTTGCTATAGCAAGCTCTGAATAAATAGGCTTCATTTGTTCTCATTTGGGTGGTCTTTGTTTATTTCCAGAAGTATCTTTGTTTCTTTCAATTGCTCAAAGGGATTTTTCTTTTCTTCACCACTCGTTACCTAATATACTTCCTGGAAAATACTAGACCCTTAATATACATTTGTTGAGTGGAATGAAAAAGTGAATGACTATGATAAGATTTTCAGACCCTTCATAATTCCGGTAGCTCTCCTCTGAACAAGTTCCTGTTTGTCGATTTCCTCCTTGAAATGCACCACTCCAAAGTTTAACATAATACTCCAGGTATATTCTAATCAGCTCAGAGAGGGACTTGCACATCCTTTGTTTTAGGCACTATATACTTTTATTCAAGCAGAGGAAGATGACCTTAGCTTTGAATTTGGGAGGGGGAAGGGCAAAACAGTGATATTGTACTGTTTCAAGGAGAGTTTATTCATATCTAAACACCTTATTTCTTCTTCATTCATTCTACAAGTAAAGCCACCTATTCACTCTCTTGTGCTTGTTTAGTTTTTTGGGGGGTGCTCCAAAAGCAGGGCCTTATATTTACCCTCATTAAATTTCAGCTTGCTAGTTTCAGCCTGTCAATGTGGGTTGTCATCACTGGTTCTGTAATGAAGCAAACATTCAGTAAGCAGCTGCTGCCTGCTTTGTGAGGAACTGGAAGATAGAGAGGCAAGACCAACTGCCTGTGCACAGAGAGAGGCTTGCAAGGTAGGCAGGTACAATATGAGACTAGGAAGACATGCAGCTCTTTTGGGAATAGAAAGGAAGGGTATTGAATACAGACTTGTACAGGGTGTGCTATCATAGAAGCCTTCCTAAAGGAGGTAACATCTGAGCTTATATTTTGGGATCCTATTTGTGCCAGAGAGTATATTCACTATACCT